GCCAAAAAATTCACAGAAAGATGGAATTAAAGGATGAGTTTGTTTTGGAACCAAAAAAAAAAAAAAAAATTGAAATCCATGCACAGTTTTCTGTGGGGTTTTGTGCATATACATTTCCCACGAACTTTTTGAAGAACCCTGATATTGGTATAACTTTTTTGTAAAACAAAAACATATTGTCAGGATGAATGAAAGACTTAAAAGGGTAACATTTTGCCCCAGTAATTCTACTTATAATTACCTAAGACTCAGGTATAGACAAAGATGTTTCTAATAGCATATGCTTCAAAAGTAAAAACCGTAAACTTTAGATATAAAGCATTAATGCTTATTAATTACTTAAAAGTATGGTGCTAATCACATTAGCATCATATTGTTATCCAGGACACCTTATGAGAGGTTTTCTTAGCTCCATCTGGATTTCCCATGGCACTCAAACTACCATCCAGAGTTGATTGAATCCTGCCTCTTCACCCACCCTCCCTCCCCACCTTGGTTCCCAAACCTGTCACCCTCCTGTATTTCTTGGATGGGCAAATGGCAGCACCAGACACCCACTGGGTCATCTCTTTCCTTCTCAAAACTAATAACTGAATCCATTGCCTTAATAACTCCTGGATCATCTTCACTTGTCAGGTGAGGATTCCTTCCTTCCTTCCTTCCTTCCTTCCTTCCTTCCTTCCTTCCTTCCTTCCTTCCTTCCTTCCTTCCTTCTTTCTCTCTTTCTTTCTTTGTTGAATGAAAATACTTTATTAATGGAAAATAAGGGGAGAGGGATCAGATAGGAAAATGCTGGAATGTGAGGATTCTGCCTTTTTTTCAGGAACTGGACAAGGTAAGGCACCGATGGCATCCACCGATAGCTGCCCGAGTCACCTGGACAGGAGCAAGAGCAGCAGGTTGGCCTCGGGTAGCAGAGCTGCACCCACCCAGGAACCTGAACCATCACTGACCTCAGGCTCCAGCCCCTCCTCTCCATGCAGGGGCTGCTGATCTGATTTCTT